CTGAACCAAATGATGTGGTGCAGGAGATCAGATGTTTTCATGAACCGGAATATTAACCATCGCCTGACGTACAAAGAGGAACTAAGCAAAATATCAAACACTCGTCCCACCAAAATTTACAAAAAATGTCCAAACCTCTCTTATTAGAATCAAGCACAGTCATGCAAACAATCATTTTTCCTTCAGAGATTTCTAATCCTTTCGGTATTTGGTGTTTAGTATCCAAAACCCCTAAAGCATCCCTGTTTGTGGCCTAAATTAATTTAATGTCAAATTGCTCACAGATTAAAATAAATACAAATATGTGTTAAATTTGAAAATGCTACTAGGATTCTTCTAAATTCTTTTAAGCAAAAAGTCGGGAATGACATCTTCTCTAAGGCTGATTATTTATCTGCAGTGCTTAAATGCCATGCTTTTACATTGTAACTCCACATGAAGATTATTAACAAGGAAAGGCAAGATCTTCCAAAACGACTGCCCACAGTAAAAGGTGGAGAATAAAATGAACAGTTCAATGATTATATTCAGTCTATGGCAGAACAGCAAACTGAGGTATATTAAGATATGAAGAAATATTTTAGATTTTTTGCAACATGTATTTTTAAATGAAATTGTTCAGATACCATCTATGAAACCTCAGGAAAAAACACTAAATCATATGATTGTCTTTGAGCACGCAGATGTGGCATTTGCATACCTGTTCTTTAACTGAAGCGAGAATTGCAGAGGTCGTCTCTGTTTCAGAGCCATCGCCATTGGACGTGTTCAACACAGGACTAAGGGAACTTGCCTTATCAGAAGACGAGGGCTGGTCTGGGACAGGCATAGCTTCTGCAGTTTATGGGAAAATAAAACAAATATTTTGTTATTACAAATCTGATATGTAATTGAAATCATAGGCATGTAAGAATAATGTTATTTTAAGGAAAGCGTAGAAGAACATAAACGCTTCAGGTGGGTAATACAGAAGTAATTAATTCATCACTCCTTTTAAACTAAGTTAATTTAAAATTAATTTCTAAAACAAAATATTAAAGGACCTCCCAATTTTACTCCAAAATATTCACCGCAGCACATACGGAGAAGATTCAAATCACTTACAGCTCTTTTTGTTTGGTTTTTTTTATTAATACTATTCTAGTAGCAGCATCTAATATGAAATTACAATAACATGAAAGTAATTAATCATGAAATGCTTTGCAAACAGAGAATGAATAAAAGATACATGAGAGAAATATAAACCTTCAAGTACTGGTTTTCCAACCTGAATGGCTATTTAATATATATTGCATTTTAAGCCTAGGTAACTTACTCTGCCTAACTTTCTTCTAGTCTGGAAGATGATTTAGGTAGTGTTTTATCAGAGGAGTTTTGGGAAAACAACAACAACAACAAAAAAAGAAAACCAAAAAAAACCCAGCACACAATTCATTTTGCTAGTTTCGAGACCTGTGACCTGGTATTTCTGATATTCATTTTCCAAGAGGAAGGTGGTGAGGGTAATTATGGAAAGGTATATCTTTCTGAAGGCTAAGCCACCATATAGCATCTCTGGGTAAATGCCGCTATAGACACATCTCCGCAGGCAAGGCAAGCCACTTTCCAGAACTGCATGAGCCCAGACGCAGCTTGCACAGTGATAGGCAGGTGAGTTAGGATAAGATCACATTCACGTGGGAGCTGGCCAGATGTATTTTGTGGCATGGACCTGGCTCACAGGCTGTCGGCTGGACATCCTTCCTAAAGAGAGCGGTGCCATCGGAGGGGCCGCAGGTCACGGCACTTGCCCTTCGCCTCGGCGGCGAGTGTCCTGCTCAGTGCCCTTCTCTTTTCCACAGCCCAGGCCTTCACAAAATAAAACTTTTTCTTCCCCTGAAAGGGCAGCTGGGTAAAAGCAACCTATAAAATTCAGTGCGCGGCGTAAGCAGCCATGCACCAGCTCACCAGGGACACTAGGGCTCTAAAACGAAGGGAAGATGGCAATGTAGAGAGGTTTGGCTCTGTAGCCTCAGCGCGGCCCAGCTGGGAAGTCTTTTCCAAAAGCTTCCTGAAGCTCAGGGCACTGGCATGCACACGTAAGACAAAAACATGAAAAAAATCGAATTATTCATAAAATATTTTCAATCATTTCACTTAAGAGAAATCTCCTTAAATCTCAGTCTGGATTAGTTTATAAATTGAAGGATTATATTATATATCATAATACATTCCTTCTAATTAAAGCAGCTGCATATTTTCCTATGGCTGCCTTTTAGTATGCAAATCACTAAATGTGGTAAACACTGAATCCTTAGCTCTGGTAACGTCCTTGCTCGGGAGGCACACACAACCTGAAGTTATTACTTGAAAAGCCAGGTGAGATTCCTGCCTCCTCCTACCACACGCACAGCGTATAAAACTTCCATACGATTCCAACACATTAACCTAAAACGACTTTTGAATTATATTTTCTGATTCGGTGCTGCACGCGCCGGCTCCTCTTATGACAAGTTCCCTGTCTTCTGCAGTGTAGCATATAATTAAACACAGTTAACAGGAAACAATTACACATTGTTATTCTGTGTAAAGTGCCGCATGAAATACGTGCGCACACATGTGTATACACCCTTATTCTACTACCTTACCTTCAATCAGATCTAATGGTTTTTTCCTGTTTTTTTTTTTTAATTATTAATTGCATCATAACAGGAAGCAAAGCCATTTTCTTTCTAGTGTTGCAATTTTCCTGCCAAAAAAAATATACAAACAGCCTAATAGCTCATTCTGTAGAGCGGCATTTCTGCACGCAGCCCTGGGTTGCATCACTCCTGCTCTCTATCCCATATCCTGAAGTCCGGCTGAAAGTCGCGTACAGGAAAGAGAAAGATCGTAGGATTCAGGAAAAGAGTAAGGCTATGTCAAAGGGGCCTGTCACCCTTGCGGCCACCCCTTCGGGGGCAGCGGGGAGCCCAAATGCTTCCCGCTTCAGCGGCGGCTCACCCCGGAGACGCATAGCACTAAAAAACGCCCTCCCAAGAGTCGCCTGCCCAAAACCGCGCCGGGGCAGGAAGAGACGCTGGAACCGTGAAAGCGGCGCCCGCTGAAGAGTTTCGGATGCACGGGCTGCGAGCAGCTCCCCTGCTGCAAGGTTATTTTTCGCTCCGGCTTTGAGGCAGCTTCGCAGACACCAGCCTTTGTCTGCTCAGCCTCTCCGCTCGGGCTACCCGGCCACCGGCGGTGGGACGGCACGCAACCCGCCTTTTCATACACAGTACTCGGAGGAAGTAAAACCCAGCGAACTAAACAAAGACTAGAAGTCAAAAGCCCCTTGGTTCGGCTCCCAGCTGCCCGGAATTGCCGTTTTGTGTGTGTTTCAATTTTCTTCTTCGCTTGACGAATTAAGAGCCATTATCCCCTGCCTGCTCTCTCTCAGCCGCCTCGGCTCCCCAGCACAGCGTGCTGCTACTGCATGTTTCCAGGGTTTGGGGTTTTAGATATAAATCTTTAAATAAATAAATAAACCCTGGTACTATAAGTACTATTTTGTGCATCTATTATAAAATTCAAGTCTTAGGCAAATGATCAAATAACTGGGTTTCTTCTGGACATAGAGTACCATTTCTAACATCTATCTCATTAGTTCGGCTTATCCCTACAGTCATTCAATGGAAAAAGATTGCAGCGAGTTGCATTTAATAAGCTAAGATCACCAGATCTACAGCGTGACAATATCCGGCTGAGCTTCCACCATTATACGTTATAACGTTTTTGCATTAGACAAAACCATACGAAAAACATCATACGGAAACAAAATACAGAATGAACTTTCGAAGCCTGCAGAGAAGCTACTGTACTGAAGGAAGTTATACTCAAAAAAATAAAATCGTACATAAATCACCAATAGCAGTTGGACAGCAAGCGCCACTAGAGCCAAGGCCTATATTTGTGCCAGGGCATCTGACCAGAGGAGGTATATATTTTAATTTAGCTTGGCCTTCAGCACAATAAATCACGTCTGGGTTCTCTTTACTAGCAAAGCTGCCCCTGTTCTTAACACCTCCCCACCTAAATCGGGCTAGCTGATAACCCCTTAACTCCCATACACAAGGGAGAAGAGCAGTAACAAACAAATCGAAAATTAGATTAAGTGTGGACACGGCAAATCTGTAAAAAGCTGACCAGGACACTACATCGCCAAGTAACCAGAATACAAAGGAAATCTGTTGTGCTTCGTTTCCAGCAGAGCACGAGATTTCGTATCAGTGTCACGGGAACTCAGATGCGATTGTGTAAGGCAGGGTGTATACCTGCTCCTCAGAGAACAAAACTTAAACCTTAGAAGACTGTCAATAGACGAAGAGCAAAAGCACTACCAGCCATATGGAAACCTACTAGGAAGTTGGATATAAATCATTCATATAGTCCCATACTTAATATCACTGGCAAAACTCCCTTCTGACTTTAACCTTTTTTTTTTTTCCGTTTTTTTGGAGCGTCTCAAAATTTTACCTTACAACCCCCTCACCCCCAAACTGGCTTTGACTTTAACAATAAAGAGAGACAAGAAAAATATGCCTTGATGGCTTATACGTGCACACTGGTTGTTTTAACATCACACCTTGGGCCATACGGCACTCCTTGCTCCCCACCTGCGACAGCTCCGTGACCCATCACCACCCGCCAGGCATCAGTCTCGTTCCCCTTGCAACCGCTTTCAAACCACAACTGTTAGACGCGTATTACTTTTTCAGGCCTTTAGCACCTTGGCATATTCAGTTAAAATAGGGCCAGTAGACCTAAAAATTATTAAAAGTCAGATAGAAAGGCACTTCATACACCTAACTTCTTGGGAAAGCAGGTTACAAACCACTTTTGTTATGCTGATTGCTTACCAACACCTTAAAAGCTGACCTGAGTCCTACCAGAAAACATTACTCCTGAGATAAACAGGACTGACAGGGTTGGTGGGTCAGTTCTTGGGTCAAAAGATAAGTAAAAGATAACTTATTTCTGAGACAGCTAAGACCTACCTGTGTCTGAACTCAAGCGAGGTCTCTGGCCGTTCGGACGCAGATGTTCACATCTCCTTTCGCCCAGCCTTCTGGGCAGAAAGGGCCCCCGATTCCTTGCCGACACAGCCGGTACGCTCTGTGAAGACTTTTATAATCCCCTCAACGTTATGGCTACACACGATTCGTAGCTTTCCAGCTAAAAACATGTTCCCAAACAAGCATCTTTGCAATGCCTGGAACTTAAACCAAGACAGCAGCTCCACCGCAAACCCGAAGCGCACACAGAATTACCTTTTAGTGCTCGCCTATTGCAAACTGGGCTGAAAGACTGCAACGTGGGAGCGAGCAATAAACACGTTCAACTGACAGCCGTGTTGTCCCTCCCTCCCTGCCCTTTTACCGTTCCCCTTCAGCTAGCGAATACCTGAAAGAATCCCGGCCCTGGCACCATCCCTGGCACAACACCACGACCTAACAACGTCCTAAGTCACAGAGCACCAGGAACAACGAGACTGCATTATTTTCATTTTCCTAGTTAAGAAGTTAAAAAAAAAAAAAAAAAGATCATTTCAAGATAGTATTTTCCACACCACAGGTACATTCAAAGTAATTGCACTTATTCAAGAGACTTGTTGATTTTCACTTTTAAACTGAAATTATATTTCTGTTATAAGCCCCTAAAGCTTCAAGTGAGGTAGCATCCAACTATATCACAGCCATTAAGTTGATCAGCCAGTCATCGTTACATTAATGTTATCGACCTAACACAGCTGTTCTCGGCTTTCCGTTCTGTAAACCTAAGCCAAACGGAACTGTATTCACTTTTTGGTCTCCACATTT